TTTGGGGAGGCAGCAATATTCCTAACTCTGGTTTTAACAAACATGTAATCTATCAAGGTTTTAGATATTTTGTCTCGTAATTAGACTTTTAATATCAACATGACAAAATGTTTCACAAAATGGTGCACTGATGATAAAATTTAGTTTCACGTACCCATACACATATTCACGTGTAGCTATCATTAAATTATACCTGACACATTACATACGTTCTGCTTTCAGAGCTCTTAATTTGTGAATCTACAAAAACATTATCCTTAGACAGGAGTAGTAATGAAACGTTCCAGTAACATGATGCATCTAAATCATGAAATGTAAACACGCTCATATCACATGCCACTGGCGTTTCTAAAGCTATTGATGAATAAATAACTTGTCTGTCGTAAAATAATTAAATTTCAATCGATATATGTTATTGCTTGCAAGAGAAAATAAACTGTTTCATTCCAAAATTACCTTTTCAGTCGGTTTAACTTCTTCTGTTTTAGATTCCTCAACCTTCGATTCTTTCCAGCAAACTTGCGTTGTTTACAAACACAGAAAGCATGTCGCGTAAGGATATATGAAGATATGATAGTTTTTCAGATTTTTTTTTTTTTTAAATCAAAACATTCCGAAGAAAATATAACTGCAGTGTCTGTGCAAAATTTAAATTATATGATTACCAATTATACCGATTTATTTTCAATTTAATCCCAAAACATCGGTTAGATAAAGTGACCTATTTTTCAATGCGTTGTTCTCAATGTGGAACGATTCACCGCTACCGCGGGAAAAACTGCTCATTAGCAAGGGATAAAACTCCCCGTCGAGGCCTCATCTACAGAGAGCAGGCGTTTAGCATGAGAGCGCAAGAATTTGTTTCTTTAATTATACCACAAGTACGTCAATATCTTTAAAATAAGCCCCTAACTATTTATTTACCATGATCACTTTGTCAATTTCCGTTAAAAAATTGTTTTCAAAATAATATGTTTAATAGAAAACATCGATTGAATATTTTGTACAAGTAAACAAAAACACTGATTATATGCCGTGTCACTTTTTATTAACGAATGTCTCTCACACTATTTTCTCTCGCGGATTGACACAAATTCCAATAAAATTAATAATAGATATTTTAAGTTTATAAACACTTCAAAGCATATCAGGAAACATTTTCTTGTTCTGTAGATCATGAAAATTGTGAATAAACCAATATAATACAGGAATCTGTACGCAAAATACTCAAACGAAAATGTGATTAGTTCCGATACATGGGGAATCCCTTAGCAAACACATAACTTGAGTTGATGCCATCAACTCGTAAAAAACTGCACTGTCTAATTATGGAACTGTTGTAAATATCGTGATTCCATAGCATTACGGTCACCCAGTCTCCTAACAAACAGTACACATAGGCCTACATGTACCTGTAGCCTTGGTCTACACACGTGCAATGGAGCTGTCACACGCATCCAGCGAGCTCGGAGAAACACGTTTTGTTTTGCCGAGAAGTTACGGTGTCAGACAAAACTTTTCTTTTCTTAATTAGATCATATAAATACGAATTCTGATTAATAAAAATTATACAATCCCTGTTGAACTTTATATAGTTTGTTCTAACATTTGCATCTGCAACAACTTGTGTTTAAAATGGCCGGGTTGGGAAAATCAGGACCGGGTCGGAAAATTCTAAACTGAAAACATGGAAAACCTTTTTTGTTTTGAAAATAACTGAAATATACTAATATATTTGTCGCAGAAATTACTTACATTATTCAAGTTCTATATATAATGGTATGCTGAACTTCAACACGAACCCGAATCTCCAACCCATGCAGTTCTCGTTTTGTCACACATACCCTACAGTTTACAAAGTGTACACACGAGCAGGCCAGGGATTGAAAATTCCGTCATTTAATAATACACACACACAGCTGCTAGAATGATTAATTTTTCCTTTAAGAACAAATTGTATGATAATTAACGGACTATAAACATGTACTTAATACAATTGTTGATATAGTATTATCAATTCATTGGTGAAAAGATATGAATCGAAGAATGACCTAATTATTCTCTGTTATCAAACACGTAAAAAAAAAAAAAAGGCTGAGGAGGGAGCGAGCGTAGGAATATTGATATTTTTTATTTGCATTTCGGGGGGAAAGTGACTTTCTAATGATATTTTGACGTTATTTTTGATTTCTTTAACGTATGACATACACAACTTTACTCTTATCATGAACAATAATGTTGTATCTACTTATCATGATGGAATTATTTTGGTCGGACCAATATGTGTGAGCTGCCGCTGAATACAGTTATATATCTTGCAAAGATAGTATGCATTGATCGAATATATAGAAAAAAATTAGGTTTCACTGGGTGTGTTCAATTTGTTTCAATTATGTAGGTGATAGGGTATATTGCTAAATAAGAAAGGGAAATTGACAATTAAAAAGTTATAGTCATCACGTTTATCATAAAACTTTGTTGATAGGATACCATTAACGTCTTTTTCTAGTAAAATATCCATGAAAGAAACATGTGACAGACTATGTGTTATGTTATTTCAGACTCACTAGAATATAATGGTGTCGACATACAAATGGAGAGAACAATTGCTGATTGATAAAATGTCATCAGAATATTTTACTGTTGAGTTGGAGGCCACAGCAAATGTTTCCTTCTCATATACTAGTATAAGGTACTGTGAGCAATGAGCTCACTAAATGATACCCCCGCCTCCCACATAAATATAACAAGAAACATATTGACGCAAGCGTCAAAAATCGGCCGCAAACCAATTAATTCTTTCTTACAATAAATTAGAAACTGAATTCTTCTATTTATCTGTTAATTAATATATATCCCTGTGACATTAAACATTTGAATGCGACATCCCAGGATTTTCTTCAGTACATAATACATGTACATTGCTACAAATAAAATGTATTTAAGCAACTTACTCATAGCCCTCTGTGTCCCCGCACTCAGTAAGTTTATACACGAACTCTCGCGGAAGTTTGATGTTTAAGTAGTTTTAACACTTAACCATTAAAACTAACGTTTAAACTTATCTAACTAGAGATAGTTTAACATTAAATAAAACGTAACAAGTTTTCAACTATGCGGGGCTCCTCGCTCGCTCAGAGGATGTTGAAACCCCCAACTCCCTCTAGATCCGCCACTACATTTCTTCTCTATCTTGTTTTGGTGTGACATGTGGACGGAAAAGGTTTGGCATGTTGTAAAACGCGCTTTATCCTTGTCTGTTGGAGAAAAATCTCCTCATATTCTGTCTGATAATAAATTAAGATTAAGTCATATTTTTGAAAAATTTCCGTATTAAAAGTACAATGTATATTTATATTTACACGTTAATTTAAATTATATATACAACAAATCCTGTTGAAGTAGAGAAAGTAAAGTTTGTTTAGACATGTATATAACGCGGTCCTTGCTTTAGACTATGCCCAACATGTGTGCTTATTTCTCCGCACTTCAGTTACGTCGGAGTTTGTCAATCAGGATTGGATGAAACATTTAACCCATTATTCATAAAATTTTAATTTTATGATTATTATGCGTTTTTATTTTACATTTAGACACTCTTTCTTAATATTCTATAGGGTCTGTAAGTCTCGTCACGTGACTCGCGAGATTATACGAGTGTTGGTAAAATGGGTAGGCAAACCCGGGCCGGGGCAAATTAAAAGCCGGGGCAGATCGAGGTTTTCAAATATCTCCGCTAAGACTCCACCAATTAATCTGAAATTTTCAAGTTATGTTCCTTTAAGGTTCTTTTGTATTCGCTGTTAATATCGCCATAATATACATAATATTTCTGATTTTCTGGGCGATTGTTCATTTCCAGGTTGGTAAAATGGGTAGGCAAAATCAATACGACATTTTACGGTATTTTTAAATTACGACTGATTAAACCATTACAATTGTGGACTTTTCCAATATTTTACACTCTATATAAACGAAATATAATTAGTTTTACATTATAAAAGCGATAAGTATGCAGAATTTGCGCATTTTCAGAAAAACGGGTCATTAAAACCGGATCCGATCACCCGGGGCAAACCCGAAAATTCCGAAATAATTAAAACCAATTGTTTGTATTGGAGGATGTTAGCTATCACTTTTGTGACATTGCCCAGCTCTAACCACATGGAGGTATCCTCACAAGACCCTTTTTTTATTTATTAATCTAAACAATCAGTTTGAAAATGGGTTTTTGAAATGAATTTTAGCTTTGATTTAAGATAAAAAATATAACTGATTTGGATCTGATATTACTAAATGTATTTAGCACTATTCCGAGCTTGTGTGTGATTAAATTAAAGCCAGTGGTAGGGATTCTGCATTAACTCATTAATTATGTAACTGCAAATTTTCTTTAAATGAATTATCTTTTTAAAAAATTAAATACAAGCTTCCAACAAATCAATTGGGCTGTTTTTTTTCAGGTGACAAACATTATTAACCTGTACAACTATTCCGGAATTTTCAGGTTTGTCCCGGGTGATCGGATCCGGTTTTAATGATCCGTTTTTTCTTAAAACATGTAATTTTACCTAAATATTACAATAACCAATGAAGAAATCTTAATTTATAGCTAATATACATTCTTAAGCACCAGAATTATTCATAACTTTATGGACTTTATGCAGCATATGTCTGAAAACGTAAATTTTGAACTTGGGAAACTGCCTACCCATTTTACCAACTTGAAAATCAATAATCGCCGATAAAATCTACAATATAAAATATTTCGTGGCAATTTTAGCAGCAAATATAAATAATCATGTATTAAATAGATTCTGAAAATTTCAGCTCGATCAATAAAGTATGAAGACGGAAATATGAAAAACCTCGATCTGCCCCGGCTTTTAATTTGCCCCGGCCCGGGTTTGCCTACCCATTTTACCAACATTCAGATTATACGATAATTTTCACTTCCGGGTACATAAAATGAGGAACTGTGTTAGTGTGTATTTAGTTAAGCATGTTTCTGGTTTATACAAAGCTTCTGAGGAAAAGTTAAGTAGTTATACAAAGCAGAGGGGTTCTCCGACTTACGATGGATGAATTGCGTGTCATAAAAGCTTGGGTGCGAGTGTCCACCAGGAAAAATTCGATCGACGAAGTACAGGTAAACAATCAGAGAATGTCAACTGTTTCTTGTTTATTTTGAGAGAAAATGAAGTGTTTCACTTTATACTTGAATGAAATAGATTCATAATCATCCTTCGCCTAAATTTATTAACAGATTTTTCTCGAATTCGAGGACGATAATGTTATTATCGGCTGATTATAGAGGAGAAGTTTTGTCAGTGTCCGATGGGTACAAACGTCATATTGTGGAGCCTGCATGCATCACTTTTGCATCGGTAAATATATTTTTTTAAATTAAGATTTACCTGTTGTGTGTCACCTATAGGATCACCTATTTAAGATCTATTTCCCAAAGATAAGATGTAATATTATATTTTTTGCTATTTGAAGTATTTCGCTGCATTCAACATTTAACAAAATTCAAATCACTTCAATACAATAAACATACATGTGTAGAATTTCGGGCTTTATGGACCATGGATATCAGCCTGGATAGCTCAGTGGTTAGACACCTGACTAGTAATACACAGGTCCAGCACAATACCCCAATAAAGGTATATAGCTTGAATAAGCTATATAGCTTTATCAAGGTATCTAAAATACCTTGATCAAGGTATTTTATGTCATGAAAATTAAAAAAAAATCTTTAAAAAAAATTAATTACTGAGAGTCGAGTTCTGAGTTGTTGTCAGTATATTCACCCATGCATGTTAAGTGCTCAAACATAAACAAATCAGTATAAAAATGTCATGTGAGGAGACGTTTTTTATGCTTTCTTTTTGATACCAGAGTGTTTTTCATGCACGAGTGGACACACTGACAAAAACTAAGAACTCAACTTTCAGTATTTAATTTTTAAAGAATTTTTTTGAATTTTCATTCCATAAAATACCTGGATCAAGGTATTTTAAATACCTTTATAAAGCTACATGTATATAGCTTTATCAAGCTATATACCTTTATCGGGGTATTGTGCTGGACCTGATACAGGGGTCCTGGGTTCGATTCTCGTTCCAGCCACAAGTTTTCTCATGCATTTCTCTTTTCTTACTACATTTGGTGCTGTGCCATGCCCTGGAACTGACAGGTGAAAGACCTGCCAGGGATGAGCCGGGGTTGGGGTCTAAAGACCTTTAAGGAGGGAGGAATGTGGCGGTCAGCGGGGTTCGATTGCCGGTGGCCAGATAGCTCAGTTGGTAGAGCACCTGACCGGAGTTTCATGTGGCCTGGGTTCAAATCCCAGTCTGGTCTACTGCATTTTCTCCTCTTTATTTATTCATCAATCTCATACAATTATATACATTAAAACTTATTTTATAGCAGAAGTACAAGGGAACCAGGCAGTAACAAAGATGAAATATGCTGTTGCTGAAAGATCCAGTCAAGCACTAAACTGACTAAACTGACTTGAATGATCAGACTCCTTAAAAATGCAAATCAAATACAGGTATGATCAGATGCAGCAGAATAAGTTCTAGGACATATATATGAAAACAGTGTGTAAAACAAATATTTTTAAATCCATTTTTTTTTATGAAAAGGCCTTTGACATTTTTTGGTATAAAAAGGACAATTTCATTCTGTTTTTCTTGTAAAAATATTGATAAAATTTAATGAAGAAGGTTAAGTTTTGTATTAAATATCCAATAAATGGATATTTACCAGATTTATAACTCATTACACCTAAATTATCAGTAATGCATACTGGAACAACTGTGCAATACTTCGAATGAAATTTTACAGAAGTTTTGTAAATTACAGGTTTTTGTCAGCTTATCTGGAAATCTTAGGACATCACTGATTAGTCTAATTTGATCAAGAATTCATCCAGCATGAAGACCAGCCATGTGCCTCACTTGTGATGACATTATTAAAGGTAAGTAACCCTATCAGCAAAGAATTGACAAGAAAATCCTTCAAAAGATTTTCATTTAAGATACTTATTCAATTGGTAGTTTAAATTCCTTGTAAGCGTATTTTTTAGTGAGGCATGATCAGCTAGGTTTCTGAAATTGCTAAAATTGAATATCACTTAAAATTAAATGTGTTTTAGGTGTAATAATTATGTTAATGAAAATACTTAAATACAAATATTATAAAGTTAGTAATCTTTTAAAAATTGCTACAATTACTTCTCGCTAAATAGAAAATACCAAATTTTAAGGACAAATTACTAAATTTCCATCATGATCTCACTAAAATTTCCACTTGTACCATATTTTAATTTCTGTAAAATGTTTTGTTACATTTCATAAAAACAAAAAATATATATTTAAAATCAAAATCATTTTATTTCAGCACCTGACTGTGGGAATATGGGATTGAAAACATAACTTGGGTCTGTATTATTGCATCAAAGACCAATCCAGGTTTACGTATAAAGTGAAGGAAAACAGTCAAGCATCATTTGGAGCCACGTGTACATATGTAACTGCCTAGGCGCCTTCACAATATGTCCTGTTATCTAAGAAATCACACTGACCAGTTGTACCTATGATGTCGGACGAGATCCTGATAAAAACTTCTGTTGCACTCATCACTAACTGCAAAGAAATGAAATTTTTAAATGACTTGTATCAACACTTTTGTACTACATCTTGCTTGTATTTTCAGGTCTTGTTAGCCTTTATTTTCCTTCAAACAAAATTTTATAAGTACTAACCTGCAGGTGTAAAATGTTTGAAACAATTTGCAGCAGTTGATTCACTTGATTGAGGTCACAATTCCACCGGCAAAGATTACATTGGGTATTTGTAGCTGAATGGTGCCAAATAAAACACTTTTCACAAGAACCTGGCAAATGTATTAGAGTGGAAGTAAGCATCTACACAAAAAATGAATACTTTCTCAAATATTAACAGTGATATATTATGCCTGTGTACATTCTTAATATATTAATATATGACTAATTACACAAGTAACTAGCAAATATACAATGTCAACTTCCTTAATTTTTTTCTCAAGTTCATGTATAGTGTATCAAAATAAACATGCAATATTTGTCTTGTTACTCTGAAATATTTTTAAGAAAATGTCATTTGTTGAAACAAGTGTGCGAACACTCTGCACAGTTAGCTATTTTTATGGAAAAGTTACATGTACCTACATGTATCGACATGCATTTTGAATCATAGGGATGTAATGTTAGGCACACCGAAGGAGAAAAGTAATTGTTAACAAATGTTTTTACCAATCAAATTTGATATTTAATAAGAAAGTATGTACCAAATTTAACTAGTATTATGGTTCATTCAACTTAATTTATTTATCATTGTATGTTAGCTTTCCTGAATTTGATAAATAAATGAACTAGTAGGTTTGATAATAAAAGAGCAGCCCAAAATTTACTTGATACAAAGGAAAATAAATTCCATCATTAACTACTTGGAAGCTGTCACACTCTTCATGAGTATAAGAATTATGAGAAATACTATACATAATGTAAACATATTACATTTAGCCATATATTTTATTTAGTGGAAAACATAGTCCGCCTATCCAAGTACATCACTAAATGTCTTGAATATGAATTTAATAACTAGCACATTCCGATATCTAATAGAATGATGATAACTTGTTGAAAATTGAATTTCCACCAAATATTATACACACCAAATGTAATACATATTCAGTATGTATGCCTCATGAACAGAACAGATCTATACCGGTATATTGATAACACATTCAGTCGAAGTGTTGTCCCTTTTTCTGTATCTGCTGGATCCCTATAAAATATGATGACAAATGTAAATAAAATGTTCTATCGTTAAAGTATGAATGTCCTATGGACCCAGTCATTGCCTTTTTGGAGACAACATTAGATTTATCTATCTGACAAATGCCTTCATTAAAAATATTCCTATTTCTAATTCCTATTTTAAGAAAGAAAAAAAGTCTGTCTCATAATTGTAAGAGTATTCGGGAAGGGAGTCATAAGGCTATACAAGTTATATTGAAATTGAATATATATAGAGTAACATGAAAGAAGTAATATTTGACATTTTTATATCTGGATAGAGTCAGTGTTCGAAATTCGGAATTATTTTCTGTGGGTCCAAAGGACCCACTGATAAAGGGTCTACACAGGTCCTTCCAAGGCAGCATTGGCCCCAATATAATACCATCAAATATTTTGGAGAAATAAACTTTAATTGACAATCTTGATAAGTTTATCAATTCTCTACCAATAAAAAATCATGTTGTTTAACGAAAAAACAAAAAAAAAAACAAAAAAATACAAAAAATATGCTCATTTTACTGTAAACATACTTTTTGTTTCCAGTAACATTTAAAAAAAAAACTAAAACAAAAACAAAAAAAACATGGTCTGTCTGTTAGTTGTTTTTTTTTTTTTTGCCTAATGTATGATCTCAATCATTGAAGCATAATCTAGTTTCTATTTAATACCTAAATAAGAGGGCCAAACATCCCAGGACTGAAGTAAACAGGTGGGATATTTACAGTAGACACCCAACATGGCTGTCTTGAGATGGAAAACGAAGCTAAACAAATGGGAGGAGGAAATGCTAGATGATATAAAAATGATCATTCCTCTTAATATTTAAGTGAAGGTTGACTAGGATGACATATTTATATTTCAACTAAAGCTACAATTTACATTCTTTATAAAAATTGCATCAGCTGATTGAAACCAGCGGTACAGATATGGTAGCAATTTGAATGTGTCGGTCGGGTTATAGGATAGAAACATATTTTTAGGCCTTCTTTCTTTGCAAATCATCATCGGCCCAAAATCATTTCAAGGACCCATTTAGTCATACTATACATGAGTCCTTCCGTTTGTACGTCGGCGCAGGACCGACGGGCCGACGCTAATTTCGAACACTGGATAGAGTTACATAACAAGTAAATCTATTTATTTCTAATGTAATAAAAGTATAATACATAGGCTTTAGCCCCCCTTTTATTGCAAATATATACATAATATAGACATTGAAAATTGGTGTTTACCTTATTTTGTTGGTTAACCCCCCCCTTCTATGTACCCGTCCCGTGTGCTAAATAAATGAAACAAATTTGAGAAACCAATCTTTAGGGAACGTTTTTGTTTGGAAACACATTATTTCAGCTTTAAAAATATTTTAATTTTCCTTTATGCTTTAAAATGTTTGCCAACCACACTGCTTATCGTGGCCCATTCGGAATGGCTTATATGTACGTCGTTTAATAAAACAATAAAGCAGTTAAACGCTGTTTACCTGTATCAATCAATCCATTATATCCTCTTCTTTTCAATAATCGGTAAACAAACGACATGATAGGATCTGCTAGTCCACCGCGAGGCTTAAAACTAAATGCCAAGCGGTAAAATCATTGTCTCCAAGAACGCCAAGTACCCGGAAGTTAGAAAACGAAAGTGAAAGTAAACGAGACTTACAGACCCTATTACATGAATGTTAAATATTTTTTATTCAAATTGTTCTAACTCCGCAGAAACGCACGGTGACTTAAAACTTTCATATCATATAACCGACCGCCTCCTGGCGGCCGGTAATGACAGTGTCCCTGTTCTGCTATGGGAAACCCAAAATATGTGTTGGATCAAAAAGTAGAACAGGAAGAGCAATGGCAATATGTAATAAAGATTCTGTGAAAGTCTCATCAAATTTCATTCTGTGGTATGAGAGGAGTTGCGGAAAAGAGATGGTTACCCCAATGGACGGATAAACGAACGGACGGACATCCCGATTAC